TTCGATTCTCAAGCCTAAACTATTGGCTGCATTTTCTAAAACTTGTCAACTTTTCATTTAAAAAACAAGTTTTATCTATTCATTTGACAATTTGCATGGGCAGTGCTTTGACTGGGGGATCTTGATCTTTGAAACATCCACCAGATCCCAGAGTGGTAGACATCAAAGCTTCTTGAGGTTAGATATTTCACCGAGTAGGATAACAAAAACGATGCATTGAGCAGTTCAAGGGTGTGTAAAAATATAAGGTATTCATGGACATACAGGATAATGCAATAAATATGACAAGTTAACGATGGCATTCAAATAAACAAAAATTAGAGCTCACCAGTAAGCCAAATATACTTACGGTTTTAGGATTGGGATCAAGGATCTTCTGTATCAATGATTTTGCCCCAGGAGAAAACAAAGGTGGACAAGAAAACTGGGCAACACTAATCTGCACATTGACAAAAGGATTGCTTAGAAGTTTCACAGTTATATCAGCACTCCTACTAAATGCTCAAGGGGTAACATTAAGTTCAATGAAGGTCGTTCATCTTATAAAGACATATACTAAATGGTAGGATTTTACAAGATTGATATAAACAAATACATATTAGCAATAGCAGCCTCCATTATTCTATATGCAAAGATATATGAATTACAGTTTCAGCACAGGATGCAAGTCTGACAAAAAAATTATAAGAACAAAATAAGATACAGCAAAGCACTCATTACAACTCAAAAGAATGGAAGAAAAACAGTTAGAGCATTGCAAGTTTGCAACATAACTCTAGACAAATAGCTTAATAGCAATCTTTCTACAAATGTTGGAAAAATTATTTACCAATGAGAAAGTACATTGCAAATTATTAGTGTATAAATTAACGGTGCAAAAATGATGGAAATAACCTTCTTGTACAAGGTTGGAAGATCTATCTCATCAAATGGGAGATAACCGGCCATTATAACAAAGAGGATGACTCCACATGACCACACATCAGCAGCCGCACCATCATAACCCTAATTGCCAAGCACCTGATGGGTATTAATTTACCATGAGATTCAAACACAGTGGCAAAGCATAGTAGACACTAAGGCTAATTTGATGCATAATACTTCAAGTAACTTGAAGGAATGTACCTCCGGTGCAACATAATTTGGGGTTCCACACATTGTGTGGAGAAGTCCGCCTGCCCACTCATGGACATCAATGCTTAATGAGAGAAAGAAAAATAATTACATGATAAGACACTTTTCTGTAAAGAACACAGAAACTTGTCAGTATGCTTACTTGCTGAGTTAATCCACTCAGTCCGAAGTCAGAAACCTTCAAATTTCCAGAAGAGTCAAGAAGAAGATTTTCAGGCTATAAATTACAAAGGAAAAGAAAAAGTTGGTCAGGATTATCATGAAACACTGATTTTCAAAGATATTGATTTCAAAATATTGCACCTTTAAGTCTCTGTGGTAAACACCCTTACTGTGACAATGAGCAACAGCATCAATAAGCTGTTGAAAGTATTGCCTACATTCATTCTCAGAAAGTCTTACACGGTGAACCTACACACAGAGTAAAGAGGAGATAAATATTTCAAAGGAAGAAACTAACAACAAAGGAAGGAAAAACTCCAAGAAATTAAAAAATATCTGCCATAATTATGAGATAGGAGATGCCTTACAATTTTATCAAAGAGTTCTCCTCCACTGACAAACTCAAGAATAATATATATCTTTTTCCTACTTGCCAATACCTAAATTTTAAAAAAAGGTCAAGGTAAATATCAACAAAGTAAGCAAGAACTTAAAAGTATGATGTCCATTAATTAATGTATACACATACCTCATGCAACCTAACTATGTTAGGATGTTTAACAATCTTCATTATGGATATCTCTCTTTTAATCTGAAACCAACCGAGCAAAGCAAATTAAGACCCCAAAAAAGTTTAGCCAATTAAATGGCATAGAGAAAGAGATTCTTCTGGTAGGTAAAATGTTTCTCCAGTTTCACAGTTAATAGAAGCTCTCAAATGTTACGCAGCTAAACATTTAAAGTCATTAGGCCTTAGATTTGAACGACCAGTGAAGCATGAACTCAGACACACAATCACAGATACGGTCCCAAGTGAGCTACAGCAAGAAGGTTTCTCTAGTCCCAAACAACAGCAACATATGAATGATATTTATTTGAATTCATATTATTTTAAGAGGGAAAGAATAATCTCCACTCTCCAGACACCTTTGGTTACTTAATTTCAGAAAAGTGATATGATCTATCTTTTCCAATAAAAAGGTTCAATGGCCGAGAGAAAAGTTTTTAAGCAAGAGTTTTCTTCTCAAGTAATACCCTCCTACTCCAGAGAATTTCATGTATTCTTTATTGCAGCATGTCCCATAGCCATAATCTTACCAACTACAATTCAAGCATAAAATATAAAACAGCCCAAATTCCTTTCAAACCAAACAATCAAAAGGCAGAGCCAATTTGGGTCATTAGCAGTGATACAGTTACTTTTGACCAACTTATGAGAAGAATTATTATTTTCTTCTAGTTCTTTAAATTGAACAGTAGCAGTTCCATAAAAAAACTGAATATGAATCAAACAAGGTAAAGCCAAAGGATTTCGGGTATCTTTTTGAGAAAATCAACTAAATACCTGATCAACCATTCCGTGCTTAAGAATGGTGGTTTTGGCCAAAACTTTCACGGCGCTCTCTCCAGTGTCTGTATTCTTTGCAAACTTAACTTTGGCGAATGTTCCTTCGCCAATGGTTCGACCAATCTCATACTTGCCTAGTTTCTTTGTTATTTTCTTCATAATTCTTCAACTTCATGATAAACCTAATAATTTACACCTAAAACCCAACAGATCATGAAAATTAAAGAATTCTGCAGTTCATGCTGCTTTGGCTGCTGAGAAATTGGAAAGAAAATTGATTAAAATATTATTCCGGCCAAAATCTTACCTCCAAGAAGGATAGAAAAAACGGTTAACCGAGCTTCGCCGACGGATTGTCCCGATCTGCGGCTCCAAATGGATCCTTGATCAAAGCCAGCCACGACGGAGCTGGAACCTTCGTTTTCTTTTCTCTTTTATCATTTTATACAGGTAAACTACGTCATTAGTCATTAGACTATTGGTACTCTTATCTTTAAGCCTCCTACCAATTATCAAAATTTAGAAAATAGGCACTTAACTTTTCTTTTTGTTCTTTTTTAGTCCAATTCTGTTTTAAGTTTTTAGCAACGGGATAAACGTGGTTGGTTTTTAAATTGGTAAAATAATATATCTAATCCTCAAGTTATTTTTAAATTAGTCAAATAATATATATATTTTTTAAAATTTATATTAGAATAGCCTCTCAAATTTGGATTTTTGACTTCTCTTTGGCAGGATTTATATCGTTGCGTTATTTTTATTATAAATTTAATTACTGTTAATTATAATTGAGTTTTTTTTTATGATTTAATTATTCATTTTAAAGTATTTTTTTGGCTGATTGTGTTCTTTCACGACCGTATCTGATTTTTTCTGTATCGAATATTATTTTTATATTCATATTTTTTAATACTCTAGAGTGATTATAATATAATATCTGTTTCAGAATGAGAGGGGGAGGGATGGAGCTCCCTTAGGGTTCTGGGGGCCTTAACCCCCGTTAAAATTTATATATTCAATATACTTTTAATTTAATAGTATTTTAATTCATGTAAAAAATATTTAAAAAATATAAAATTTATTAAATATTTAATCAAGTAGGGGTCGAACTAAAGAATAATAAGTCTGTATTCTCAAATTTTTGGTCTAATTACAATTTAAGTCATTGTAATTTTAAATATTAGAAAAATTAGAAGTTGTATTTTAGTTTTGAGTTTTTTTTTTAATTTAGGATGAATACAAGGTAATATCTGTACAAATACTTTCAACTGTTTGACAATGAACGTGCATACCCCTACATACGTGCTTGAACTCGAGACCTCAAGGGAAACAACAATATCTTAATCACTAAGGTCACTTGGTTCATGCTGAATTCCGAGTTTAAATACCTAATAAGTTTTTATATTTTTCTTAAATAATCTAATATTTCGACTCTTGCCAATATTTAATTTTGGCTTCGTCCCTGGGGAGAGAGGAAGAGAGAGAATGAGGGAGAGTGAGAGAGACAGAGGAGGGAGATGAAGATAGAGAGGGGGAGAGAGAGAGATGGAGGGAGAGGGAGAGGGAGATGGAGATGGAGGGAGAGGGAGAGAGAGGGGGAGAGAAAGGGAGAGGGAGAGAGAGAGGGAAGGAGAGAGAGAGGGGGAGTGAGAGAGCCTCAGGATTTATATATCGATATTTAATGTTGATGTCAGGCGTAGAACCATAATGACTACTCGTATAGGGACGGAATTAAAAATTTATTAAAGGAGGTCAAATATTTTTAATTTCTCAAAAATATAATTTTTTCAATTGGGGACGATAAAACTTATTTTATTTATTTTCAAGAAATATAATTTTTCAGTATTACTTAACATTAAAAAAAATTAATTGGCAAGGATCAAGACTCCTGTTAGTTTCTGCCTAGTTCCACCATGTACTCGTAGGTTGCCAGAGTTTATGTCAAATGATTACGATTAATTAGAGGATATTAACCTTTAGAGGTTATGATCATCGAAAAAAATTCTCTAAAGACTTCAATATATAGAAAGATAATAACGAAAATAGAAAAAAAATATGAAGAAAAGTACAACATAATTAATAAGTCAACTTTAAGTAATACAATTAACAACAATTTTGACTTACACAAAGAATATATACATTAACATTCCTAGTGGAATTTATTATTATTTTTTTTACGAAAACATAATTTAGTTTGAATATATTAATAAATAATAACAAAATAAAGAAAATACAAATAAGGAAATGATAAATCCATGTCCTCAAGACACGCATAGGATCTTCTTCAAACCATAGCTTTAAATTCACTGGGAATTTAGGGTTCTTCTTCTTCAATATGAAAACATAATCTTTTGTTCATCATCCATCTTAGTTTGGTTGTTGATTTTCAAGCATGAGGCCAAAGTGGATACGAGGGAAGTGCGCCCACTATAAACATAAAATAATAAAATAAGTCAACGTGTGATCAAACTTGCACGAACCAAGCGATCTCGATGGTAAATGAATTGTTGTTATTTCTTAAGGTCTTACGTTCGAGCACCAAGTATGCGGGGGTATGAACATTCAATGTCAAATGGATGAGAATCTTTGAACAAAAATTACATTGTGTTTACCCGAGATTAATAAAAAAAATGAACTTACATTCTTAGCAGCAGTGCTGAATACTTCCCTGTGACTGATGTCTGGATTGTTGGCCTTGATCCTTTGGATCTCCTCTCTACATCAGTTTCCATATAAAATTAATCAACGGTAAATATATCACCCAACAAATTAATACAAAAAATAACACCCGTTTGAGATTATTTTTCGAATTGACACCCTTTTGGGATACGTAGGATAAAGGCAACTTTTTTTTTACAAGAAACGTCTTCCGTTTACGTGGCGACACAGATTGGGCTAAATGAAATAAAAAAACAAAGGGGTAAAAAGTGAAAAAAAATTATATGAATTTTATCCAAAAAGAATAAGCGTGCGCGATACATTTTGAAGACATGTAATTCTATGAGCATGAGTTAGTATTATCTTTAATCACTCAATTAATGCATGGTTAAAAGGTTATATTTAAGCATTTGAAGAAAAAAACTCGATCCACGCAATATAGGCCTGCTAGAGTTTTTTCAAATGTTTAAATATAATTTTTTAAACATACATTAATTGAGTGATTGAAGATAAGGCTACGACATATGTGTCGTCGTCGCTCGACTCGTGCAAAATACGTGGCATAAAAAGGTATCAATCCGAAAGATAAGCTCAAATAGATATTATTTTCCGTATTAATTTATTTTTGTTTATATTTAAATTAAAAAAACCAAATATATGGCAGAAACCCTATCATGTATGAGAATTATAGAGTGTGGTTTCATACTTTATGAACTGATTGTATGCAGATGGCAGTCGCTGCGTCTTCTCAGGAGCTGGAAGTGAAAGTAACAGTAAATTTACTTGAAGAAAAAGAGAAATTGAGTAGTTAAAACACAGATTTGGTTAACTTACGTCGATTAACAACCCTTTCCTCGGTAGCATTTCTTGAAGAGAGCTTGGTGTTGTTGCATCTGGAAGATGAACCCTGACCCATCCTGTGATTTTGTGTTGCATAGCTGGGTGCCTATATAAACATAGAATTTTATGTCGGAGTGTAAACTTAAGAAGTTGTAATATAAATTTAAGGGTACAAAATTATATATTTAAATTATATAAAATTTAAAATTTCTAAAAATATGAACACACCTCAACAACCTTCGAACCTAGAACTTCTAAACGTGCATACATTCTATAGATGTTGCTGTTCGAATCTAAATTTCTAAAAAGATTATATCATCATATAGGTCACATGAACCATTTGATTTCCCCTTTAGCAATTAGTGTAGCTTTGGCCAAAAATGGACAAAAAGAAGAGATAAAAGCTAGTCAACTGATCTGAAATGATGTTTGGAGAGAGAGAAAAGGAGCAAAACCAGCATTGAAGTGACTGAGTCGGTTAGAATTGTAGTGTTGTTTAAGGAACAGAACCCAGTTTTCCCTGATCCCTAAACCAAAGGGTTTCTTTTTTGAAGGGGGAATCATTAAACCTAAGAACCCTAAACTTACATATCAATCAAACCAAAGCTACCCAAAGCAGCAGACCCTAAAAATCTTTTAGAAAACAATTCATGTTTATAGCCCCCCACTGACTCACTGCTGCAAAAAGGTTTAACCATGGCGGCTGCTAGGGTTTCCACTTTCCAGTGAGTAATGAAAAAAAGCCATAACGATATAAGAAGTTATTTCTCCATATATATCACCTGAACATCTTGCCACGACAGTGACTGAAATGCAACCGCCATGTTCACAGACCATAGATTAGTGCAGTGCCCGCATCGGACAGTCACAATATCAAACAGGCTGCTGCATGGAACACTCACCTGCGTATTCATAAAATACCCTTAGCAAATCAAATCCCAGATCAGCTACAACATTCAAAAAAATCACAAGAAGAAGTAAAGGAATGAGCTTTCTTTATGGTTTTGTGGGTTTTTTTTTTAAAATCTGGGTGATTACAAGGCACTTCCTGTTCTACATATTATCGATCATTTGAATATAAACGGTCAAATTGTTGGATCATAAACTTGATCCATTATGGGAGCCTAAACCCAAATCCAAACTAAATTGATGTCATTACTTACATCATTTAATTAAAGATGTCATTGCTTACATCATTTAATTAATGATGTCATTACTTACATCAATTTAGTTAGGTGAGAGTTAGATATTTGTTAAATTTGTAATGGTTTAAATTAGTTTATTTGTGTGGTGTAGGATTGTTCTTGAGTAGTATAAATACCCCTTCCCATTTTAGTTTTAAGCATTAAGAAAAATTAAGAGCTTCTAAGTGAGTGAAGAAGTAAAGTCTTATAAGAGTGAGTTGTAGTTCTTGTTTTTGAGTGAGAGTACTCTTGTAATATTTGTTTGAGTTTTAATAAAAGTTGTTTGTGTGAGTGTTTTATTTCCAACAAAGTGGTATCAGAGCGAGTTGGAAAGATTGAAGGTCTCGACGAGAGGAATCCGACGCCGCCAGAATTTTCTCAATCTGAGTTCTGACGCACCGCCACGCACCGCCGGAAGACTGCTGCTAGAAAATCGAGTTGACTCACCGAGTTGAGCCGAGTCAGCCGAGTTGGAGTCCTTGACCGAGTTGTCCAAGTCCCTCCAAAGTTTTTTTTTCATCGTTCCGGATTCATCATTGCAATCGGATTTTACAAAATCTCATTATATTGAGAGATATGGCAAATGGTATGGCACCATTCCAAGTTCCGACACTCAACAACAACAACTACGACAATTAGAGTATCAAAATGAAGGCACTTCTTGGATCACAAGATGTGTGGGATATCATAGAGAAAGGCTATAACGAGCCTGCGGATGATGATGCTTTTGCTACTCTTACACCAGATCAAAAGACAACTTTGAAGGATTCAAGAAAGAGAGACAAGAAGGCTCTCTACCTCATCTATCAAGCATTAGATGATGATGGTTTTGAAAAGATTTCAAGTGCAAGCTCTAGCAAGGAAGCGTGGGAGAAGCTACAAACCTCTTACAAAGGATCCGAGCAAGTGAAGAAGGTTCTTCTCCAAACATTAAGAGGTGAATTCGAATCCTTAAACATGAAAGCATCTGAGTCTATTTCAGATTATTTCTCAAGAGTAGTAGCTGTTTCTAATCAATTAAAAAGAAATGGTGAAAAGTTAGACGATGTGAGGATAATAGAGAAGATACTCCGTTCGTTGGATCCCAAATTTGAGCACATCGTCGTGACGATTGAAGAAACTAAAGAATTGGAAGAAATGAAGATCGAACAGCTCCAAGGATCATTGCAAGCATACGAAGAGAAGCATAAAAAGAAGCATGAGTTTACTGAGCAACTCCTCAAGCTGCAACTCAAGGATATGCATGAGAGCCAACGCAATGATAGAAACCAACGTGGCCAAGGCAGAGGTAGAGGCCATGGACGAGTTGGAAGTCGAGGTCGTGGACGAGGCTGGAATTACAACAATAATAATTCCAACAACAACTATGAGAAAGGAGAAAGCTCAACACGAGGCCGTGGAAGAATTAATCCAAACTCAAAGTATGACAAATCTCAAATTCGATGTTATAATTGTCAAAAATTTGGGCATTATGCTTCAGAATGTAGAGCTCCCAACAACAAAATTGAGGAGAAGGCCAATTACGTGGAGGAAAAGACAGATGGCAAAGAAACTCTTCTTCTAGCACGAAAGGAAACTGATGGTGGCCAAGCAAATTCCTGGTATCTTGACAGTGGTGCAAGCAATCACATGTGTGGAAGGAAAGACATGTTTGTGGAGCTAGGCGAGTCAGTAAGTGGAAATGTTTTGTTTAGAGATGATTCCACAATAGCAGTGAAAGGGAGAGGTAACATTCTTATCCGTTTGAAAGATGGGAGACATCAATTTATTTCAAATGTCTACTATGTGCCCAATATGAAAAGTAACATTTTAAGTTTAGGGCAACTGGTAGAGAAAGGTTATGATATTCATATGAATAATTATAATCTTTCTATAAAAGATGATAAGAATAACTTCATTGCTAAAGTGCCGATGTCAAAGAATAGAATGTTCTTGATCAACATACAAAATGATGTTGCAAAGTGCCTGAAAGCTTGCTACAAAGATGCATCATGGCTTTGGTATCTTCGATTTGGGCATCTCAATTTTGGAGGTCTAGAGCTATTATCTAAGAAGGAGATGGTGAAAGGACTACCTCACATCAACCATCCTGACCAGCTCTGTGAAGGGTGTCTAGTCGGGAAACAATTTAGGAAAAGCTTTCCAAAGGAGTCAGAGACAAGAGCTAAGAAGCCACTTGAGCTCATCCATACCGATGTGTGTGGACCGATCAAGCCAAGCTCTCTCGGTAACAATAACTATTTTCTTCTCTTCATTGATGATTTTTCAAGAAAAACCTGGGTATATTTCTTGAAACAGAAGTCAGAAGTTTTTGAAGTCTTCAAGAAGTTCAAAGCAGCAGTGGAGAGAGAAAGCGGTAGAAAGATCAAAACCATGAGATCCGATCGAGGTGGAGAATTTACTTCCAGGGAGTTTCAAGAGTTCTGTGAAGCAAATGGAATTCGTCGACCAATGACAGTTCCTAGATCCCCCCAGCAAAATGTTGTGGCAGAAAGAAAGAATAGAGCAATCCTCGACATGGCACGAAGCATGCTCAAAAGCAAGAAACTACCCAAAGAATTTTGGGCGGAAGCAGTATCGTGTGCAGTCTACTTGTCAAATCGATCTCCAACAAGAAGTGTATGGGGAAAGACACCGCAAGAGGCATGGAGTGGAAGAAAGCCTGACATTTCCCACTTGAGAACCTTTGGAAGTATAGCCCATGTTCACGTACCAGACGAGAGAAGAACGAAGCTTGATGATAAAAGCGAGAGTTTTATCTTCATCGGCTATGATGCTAATTCGAAGGGCTACAAGTTGTACAATCTAGACAATAAGAAGTTTGTGATTAGTCGAGATTTGGTCTTCAACGAAGAAGGAGAATGGGATTTTAACTCTCATACAGATGACTTCAATTTCTTTCCTCAGTTTGAAGAAGATGAGCAGACAATGAGGGAGCAACTAGATGAATCTCAACAAGAGCTTGCAACTCCACCCACTTCACCAACATCAACCACTCAAGGAGACTCATCACCTTCATCATCGTCAAGTGGGAGTCAAAGTGAAAGAGTTGTGCAACGCACAAGAAGCCTTAGAGATCTCTATGAGGTAACTGAACGACAAGATAATCTTACATTATTTTGTCTGTTTGCCGATTGTGAACCACTGAGCTTTCAAGAAGCGGTACAAGAAAAGAAATGGAGAGATGCGATGGACGAAGAAATCAAGGCCATCAAGAAGAATGGCACATGGGAACTTACCTCACTTCCCAAGGGACATAAGGCAATAGGTGTCAAATGGGTGTACAAAACAAAGCAAAACGTCAAAGGAGAGATTGAAAGGCACAAGGCGAGGCTAGTTGCTAAAGGCTATAGTCAAAAGGCTGGAATTAACTATGATGAGGTATTTGCTCCTGTTGCTCGATTGGAGACTATCAGACTAATCATTTCTTTGGCAGCTCAAAATAAGTGGAAGATACAACAGATGGATGTAAAGTCCGCCTTCCTAAATGGAGTTCTTGAAGAGGAACTTTACATTCAGCAACCATCAGGCTATGAAGTCAAAGGGCATGAAGACAAGGTGTTGAAGTTGAAGAAGGCTCTTTACAGGCTAAAACAAGCACCAAGGGCATGGAATAGCCGAATCGACAAGTACTTCCAAGAGAATGGCTTCAACAAATGTCCCTACGAGCATGCTCTATATATCAAGATCAAAGATGAAGATATTTTGATCGTGTGCCTCTACGTGGATGATTTGATCTTCACTGGAAGCAACCCAAGCATGTTTAATGAATTCAAGGATGTGATGATGAAAGAATTCGAGATGACAGACATGGGGCTCATGGCGTACTACCTTGGCATTGAAGTTAAGCAACAAAATGATGGAATTTTCATTTCACAGGAAAGCTATGCAAAGGAGATACTGAAGAAGTTCAAGATGGAGAACTGTAAGCCAATAAGCACACCGGCAGAATACGGGATCAAGATGACCAAACATGAAGAAGGCGAAAGTGTAGATCCAACATTCTTCAAAAGTTTGGTAGGAAGTCTACGCTATCTAACTTGCACGAGACCCGATATTCTTCACGCAGTTGGATTGGTTAGTCGCTACATGGAATCCCCAACAACCACCCATTTTAAAGCCGCAAAGAGAATTCTTCGCTATCTGAAAGGTACAATTGACTTTGGCTTGTTCTATTCAGTTTCTAATGATACAAGCTTGTTGGATATAGAGAGGGGGAGAGAGAGAGATGGAGGGAGAGGGAGATGGAGATGGAGGGAGAGGGAGAGAGAGGGGGAGAGAAAGGGAGAGGGAGAGAGAGAGGGAAGGAGAGAGAGAGAGGGGGAGTGAGAGAGCCTCAGGATTTATATATCGATATTTAATGTTGATGTCAGGCGTAGAACCATAATGACTACTCGTATAGGGACGGAATTAAAAATTTAAATTATATCATCATATAGGTCACATGAACCATTTGATTTCCCCTTTAGCAATTAGTGTAGCTTTGGCCAAAAATGGACAAAAAGAAGAGATAAAAGCTAGTCAACTGATCTGAAATGATGTTTGGAGAGAGAGAAAAGGAGCAAAACCAGCATTGAAGTGACTGAGTCGGTTAGAATTGTAGTGTTGTTTAAGGAACAGAACCCAGTTTTCCCTGATCCCTAAACCAAAGGGTTTCTTTTTTGAAGGGGGAATCATTAAACCTAAGAACCCTAAACTTACATGTCAATCAAACCAAAGCT